AGACAAACGGAGGAAGAAATTTGGAAACACCTTCATTATTAGGTAAATATTATATGTAGGTACTTCATAACTTTAGGTAAATAATACTTTCGCTTGTTTCGTTTACAGTTTCCATTTTACGTCTCATTTAAACATAAAAACCACAATTGAAAATTTAGTAGCTACTGATAAGAGAAAAGTTTGTATCATTGTTCAATTGACACATTTCCAACATGAATGTAGAAACAATAAATGAATATTTTATGAAACATTCTTTCCTCTTTGGGCAGCAGTTTAATAACTAGGTACGAATTTTAGAAATATGTTTACTACAATATTTACTTAGATTACTTATTTATTATTCGAAAAGTAAATTTTATTTGAAAATTCTGTGATTTAGATAGGTTTTTCACAATTCCGTATTATCATTCTCGTTGAAATGTTAAAATAACGTTCTGGATATCGAAGGAACGCGCACCATCATATACCTTTCTGAAGATTTCTTTGCAGAAGGAGTAAAATAATTAAGTTCTTTGAAATATGCAAAAACACCCCTGGGTTAATTTGTTTCTAACGTCTAATGAAGCTTCTCATCCTTTGACGTTAGCGGAATCCTTTTTCGTTATTAAAGCAGCTTAATTAACCGTCATTTCACTCCATTCCATCTTTCAGGTGCGTGTCCCTTTTTTTATCTTCTCTTCACTTTTATCAATGCTATTTTTATTTTCAATTAAATGCAGTTTCTCATTACTAACAATGAAGTAAGAGTAAAAAACGCGAAACCTTCTCAACGATAAATAAATAGCCTTAAAAAGGATAATTTATTTATTGGTTGGTAATAATTAAAATAAGAGCAGTATCTCTGTTCCGGGTAAGTCGTAAAATATTGTATCTCAAAAGGAATATTTCTATTTTACAGAAACATCCAAGTATGCAGCAACAGGAGAAATCAAGGAAACAGAAGAACAATCAAGAATCAAATACAAAACACATATATTTTCATATAATAGGTACAATTCAAAAGTGTAAATATAAATCGGTACACAGAATTTATAATAAATAATTAGTCTTCCTGCATTTTATTTACCTAACAAATTAGAAGTAAAAAAATTTACTAATATAGTATATTGGTTACTACTAGTGGCACTATCTATGAAGATATTGTTGAACTATTAGAAATCAATAAACTACATTAGTATAGTTTTCTTTGTACTTATTAATAATAATATATTATTTAGTTACAAAAAATTATAATAGATGGCGCGGTTGTTAGCGCTTGCTAGACAATGAAAATCCACATATTTAAGAGTCTAAGAAGCTTATATTGGGATTGAGGGCGGGATTTCAAGGTGGCTAAGTCTAATTACAATTATAAAATTAACAAAGTAAAACTAAATATAATTACGAAATTAACAAAATAATACTAATTACTATTACGAATGGAACAAAATTAAATGCTTGCAAGTGTTGAAGCTCATAGGCTTCTAAAGATTCAAATACCGTACTTTAATAATTTCGTCCAAAGGACATTAGAAGAAAATCTATAACATTTCTGGAGGTGACACTTACCCCTATTTCTGAACTTGAAAATTTTTGTTCGTCAAAATTGCACATGTAACTTTTATTAGAATTTGGCAGTTAAATCTTTAAAATCCTGAGTTACAAACCTGCAATTTTGACTAACAGAAATCGAAAATTTCGAAAACAGGGGTAAGTATGAGCCCCACAGATCTAACTCAATAGATTTCGTTCCCACGCCCATTAGACAGAATTATTAGAATCTGGCAGTTAAATCTTTAAAATTCAATGAGCTACAATATCTGCAATTTTAACTAAGAGAAATTGAAAATTTTCAAGTTCAAAAACAGGGGTAAGTATCAGCCCCACAGATATCTAACTCAACAGATTTCGTTCCCATGCCCATTAGACAGAATTATTAGAATTTGGCAGTTAAATCTTTCAAATGCTATGAGCTACAATATCTGTTATTTTAACTAAGAGAAATTGAAAATTCTCAAGTTCAAAAACAGGGGAAGTATCAGCCCCACAGATATCTAACTCAACAGAGTTTGTTCCGATGCCCATTAGACAGAATTATTAGAATCTGGCAGTTAAATCTTTAATATTCAATAAGCTACAATACCTGCAATTTTGACTAACAGAAATTGAAAATTTTTAAGTTCAAAAACAGGGATAAGTATCAGCTTCACAGATATCTAACTCCACAGATTTCGTTCCCATGCCCATTAGACGGAATTATTAAAATTTGGCAGTTAAATCTTTAAAGGCCTATGAGCTATAATATCTGCAATTTTGACCAACAGAATTTGAAATTTTTTAAGTTCAAAAGCAAGGGTAAGTATCAGCCCCAGAAATATCTAGACCCACAGACTTCGTTCTCATAACCACTATAAAAAATTATTAGAATTTGGCAGTTAATTATTTAAAAAACCTGAACTACAGCACCTGCAATTTTGACCAACACAAATTGAAAATTTTCAAGTTCAAAAACAGGTGTAAGTATCAACCCTTATAGATATCTAACTCTACAGACTTAATTCCCATGTCCATTAGACAGAATTATTAACATTATTCATTATTTCGTAATAGTTTGGGTGGGTCTCGAATAGTATTGAAAATAACTTAGCTTGGAAGAGGCTCGTGGATGAATAAAATGGTAGATAACATACATATATACATAAATACATGGTTGTACTATTTTCTGTTATACAATTTTTGCTAATAAATGGATTGGAACAATAGGCTAATTCTGTAGGTTTCCATTGATTTCCTAGGTTCCGAAAATTTCCCGTTAGGTTCTTGGGGCACCTTAAGGGATAATTTTAATCTGCACAATTAGAGAGCATGTTTGGAAGAGAATGGTGGAGTAGTTATGGTTGACTAAAGTCTTCAAACAGCTTCAGCCCTTACATTCGCCCGGCAGAGCTGGAGCTGCAGTACCTGTAATTTTGACTAGTTAAAACATACATATTTGTAATCCAGGAAAAGGAGTAAGGAACACTCCTGTAAAATTGTGACTTTGTAATTGATATTTAAAATTTGGCAATTCAATTTTGATAACCCTTTGAGTTACAGCACACGAAAATTTGTCTATTAGAAACTGACACGTTGCAAGTCCAAAAGCAGGGGTAAGGAACACCACTAGGAAAATTAAACTTTACGGGTTTTGTCCTTACATACACTGGACAAAACTGTTCAAATTAGGCAAGTAAATTTTAAAAACCGTTAGAGTTTGCAGCATCTGTAATTTTGACTAGTAAAAATGTTTGAAGTTCAGAAAAAGGGCTAAGGGACACTCCTGTAAAATTGTGACTTTTCAATTGATGTTTCTACGTCCTCTGGACAAATTAATTAAAATTTGGTAATACAATTTTGAAAGTCCTTCGAGTTACAGCACACGTAACTTTGTCTATTAAAAATTGAAAAGTCCATGAGGTGTGGCGAGGAGCAACACCGGAGGAATGTGACTTTACATTTATTAATCTTAGGTTCTGTGGACAAAATGATTAAAGTTTGGTGAGACAGCGGTCTTAAATGGAGTTGTGAAAATTGGCAACAGAATTTTGATAACTCATTGAGCGGCAGTATCTGTAATTTTTGACCACCTATTTGAAATACACATGTTATGTATAAATAATTTTCTCGTAACCTCAAGTTCCAGTTAGTAGATATCTAATGAAATATATTTTATACATTGTTAAAATCTATAAAATTCACTACTTACAAACTTATTATTACTTATACTTATAGGTTCCTTTAAAAATAACAAAGAAATTCAAATTCCAATTACTCAATTTCATCTTTGTACTTCTCTAAGGGTTGTAAAACTTTGGTTATCAGATAAGTGAATTTATGGGTTCTCTAAATAAAAGCACAAACATAAACAAAATTAAAACAGCAATACCAAAAATATATTTGGTTAAAGGAGGGCACCAAAAATTTAAACAAAACTTACTGTCTAAATAGGACGAAGATATTTTCTTTCAGATGAGTTGCAGTACTTCTTTAATCTGCAGTAATGATGGATAAATAGGCATCTGAAAAGAAATGAAGAAACATGATAACTAACAAAAAAGATAACTGTGCATATCTTTTAAACTTAAGAGCAGAGGTGAAAGAAAAGTCTCTTTATATTTGAAGATCATTGTGAATATCTTACATATTAATAAAAGTTACTTTTATTAACAATTAGTAATAATAGTGGTAATAACAGAGTTACATTTTAAAGAATGTACCTTTTCCAAAATCGGTTCTGTCCAAATTTATCCTTTTTTGCTTTAGTTTTAACTCTCAGTCCTTTCCTATAAACAAACAAGTTTACAACCTTTCAGCGGGTATTTTTTTGTTTGACGGGATTGTATTTTATTTTTCTGCACTTCAACAGATCTGAATGGTGAGACAAGAGAGAAACGCCAACCCTCTGTAATTATTGTCATCAGTCAGACAACAAACATTGGAATTAAGTCAACCATTTCGATCCAGCCACGCATTTCTCGAGAAAGTGGAATTTCTGAGCGATTAAACACAACTGCTTTTACACAGAAGGCCCTGCCAGCAGCTCCGGCGGTTTTTGCGACCGCTGACTGTTGCTTCTTACCGTCTGGCGCAAGCCTTTGGAATTTAGTAGAGAAAAATACAGCAGTGGAACGTGTAATAACGGAATTCAACAATTGGGATAGGTATCCATGTTAACAGGTTTGGGGTAAGTATAGTTAATTGTCACCATTATGCACAATTTGTCATTGCTCCATTGCTCCACAGCTCACATCATCATCATCATCATCATCATCATCATCATCATCATCATAAGGTCGTCAGTCCTAAGACTGGTTGGACTCGTACCTCCACTCTTTCCCATCCTGAGCTACACTTCGCATTTCCCTAAATCTAGAACAGCCCACATCCTTAACTATTTGCGAACAGTAATCTAACTCCTGTTTCTGCCTCTAATATGTCTCTGACTAGACTTTCATGCCTGAGAAGGTGCCCTACCAACCTATCTCCCCTATTTTTAATTGACTTCCATAGAGTCCTCTGTTCACCTATTCTTTCCAATACCTCTTCATTTCTAACCTTTTCTACCCACGATATCCTCATCATCCGCCTATAACACCACATTTCGAACGCTTCTAACCTTTTCTTTTCCGCCGC